ACTGGTCATTTACTGAAGGGTTTAATGAGTAGTGGAATAAATATTGCCATCCTTAAAAGTCAGTCATTCGTACTCTCTTGGTACTAGTCTTAAATTTTTTTGAAACAGATTCTGTATGCTCATACTGATGCAGTAAGACGAGGGAAAATAATCATTCTTCCGGATTTTGGTTGGTTTGGAAGAAGCCTAGAACACGTGTTTGTTGTTAGAGCAGTTATTCGTATTTGTGAAGCCGCTAATGGTAGCTTGTGAGACCTCACGTGCTAGACTAGAAAAGGTAGCTGTATCGGTGCTGGCTGCGCTCTGGCTCATTTGAAGTTCCATAAAATGCATTTTAAGGTTCAAATAATCAGCTTTGGCACCTGCAGGTAGTAAATGATCAAAGGATTATCTTGAAACAGGCAATTGCTGTATCTCGGGTTTGCAGGTCACACCTTCTGTTCTGGACAGATCAAAACCGGTGACGCGGTTAAAAATTAATAAATGCTTATCCATGTTAGCTGAAAGGTTAGTGTCAGGACACAAACACATTTCATGAAAGTTCTCTCTCTGATTTTTAAATAAATTTTGGCATTTTTTAAAATCGATTACAGTCTCTTTGAAAGGGCGTTACGTGTGCTGTGAAACAACTGCACTGTGAGAAAAAGTGTGTGTACCTTTCAGCATACTGATGATCAAAAAAATGAATCTCCAGTGCTGTAATAAATTGACTGCCATGGGATTTCAAACAGCTATGTTGCTTTGAGAAACCTGCTGCTTCTGAACAAGAAACCAGATGTTATCGTGAAAGAGGTTGGCAGATCAGTTGAATATCATCTCTTTGACAGCTGAGTGACTGTTGTCATTCCAACAACGTTTTTCTTGTTTCCACAGCAAGCTTATTGTAGAAACCTCTTCTTGCTACCATTAGATCTTAAACCAAAGATTAATTTCCTCACTGCTGGTCTGCTTTGTCATTTCACTCCGCTTTAGTTGTGCCTGAGTGGTAACAGACACATGAAATAAGTAGTTTTTCTTACATAGATCAGGAAGAAACTTTTGGGTGCTAATTTCTATCAAAACATAAGATAGCAGAGAAATCACTCCTTCCTGGTATTTTTGACTTAACCACAAGCCAAGAAGAAAGATTTTGCGTGTGCCTGCATATTCCAGGTACGTGAATTATACGTACAAAAAAGTCTGCTCTTCCACAGAATGATTGTGCTAGTTCTGAGCCCTAAGACTAGGAGCATTTCCTGAGTTAATTCTTTAAGGCGTTATATTCTGTTGGCTGTTTTAAAGTGTTATCATTGAGCTGTTTCTGCAATAAACTCATATCCCTGAGTTTTCATCTTTACCGTGTTTTTTCGGTTACACAACCTAAAAAAGAAAATCCTTAAAACAGCAACTTCTGATATTCTTAAAATTGACCTCAGGACCACATTTTATATCTTGATTAAAACATAATGACATCAAATTTATTTTAAAAAAAAATAGAGGATTAAAAATCAAAAGTGAGCAAGAAGATCTTTTACGTCTGTCTTTGCAGTCTTGTGGGCAAGACAGATAATTGTAACACTGAGGTTGCTTGGAGGTTCAGAAATCATAAGGGAATTAGAATACTGTGGGGAGGTAGCTCAGCAGCAGCGACCGTGGCTTTGCCGCTGTTTGCAGGGTTTTTTTAAGCTGAAATACTCTCACTTTCCATTTTTTCTGTCAAGTTCCAGTTAATATTTGTGAAATATTCAGGTACTGAGGTACCTTCTCTAATCACAAGATGTTTAAAATTGGACATTCAAAAAAACAACAACAACCAGATACAACTGTCTAAGGAAATGGCCCTCCAAGAAAACAACCCTTAAACTCGCATAACTATCACATTGTAATTATACTTGAAAACCTACTTAGAGTTTGGCATTAACCACAGTATTTTCTGTGGCATTTTCCACAGTATTTCCTAGTATTAGTTTTGAAGTCAAATTCCAGTGAAAATTTTACTAGGTATTGACTATTTTGACTATATTGACTATTCCTAAAAGTTAAGCAAAATTGTTGTCTATTTTGTTGATGTGTTTTGTGATGCTGCTATTGGCAATATACATGGAAAAATAAGGCAGTTTAATTATACTGCAATTCTGTGATGAAGATGCAATTTTCAAATTATTTCTGAGTTTGTACACTTTGACAAAATGAATAATTAACTTATTAAGATCCAGTATTTAGATGTCAGGGTGCAGCCATTCACCGTTCAAACCTCACATTATAGTTTCCCAGACAAAGGTTCTTGCCCATCAGAGCAGATGTTCTGACCCATGTTAAGGACAGTTTGTGCACCCTGTTCATGAAGCAGCAGAGCATGTAAATTGTGGACACTTCTCATATCGCTACATGCATCCACAAATGCTCTTTTGAGGAGATTTAATTGAAAATTACAGGTGATACTGACCTCGTACCTGGAGATTGCTTTGTCTCAAATTGAGTATGATTAGGAGTTGAGTTGCTCTAAATATGGCATTTGAAAAAAATCAGAAATCAATTCATGTGGAAAAGCTGTAAATGTGTTGTCTTGTAGTCCTAAATTTCATAAACTGAGGATGAAACCTAGAGTTGAAAATAAAGTGCTTAAAATGCCATACAGGCCTGTCCAAACCAGGGTAACCCATAAAATGGCTGGGTGGTGAAGGGAGGGTGAGTGTGAGGAGGGAGTGGAAGCGGGAATAGGGCAGCCTAATCATTTCTGTCCTAAAGCTGTGGTTTCTGAATAGTGTACAGCAGGAGAAAGTCACAGCCTTTGTGGAGATACGTGGATGCAGTATCTAATGAAATAACCTTAAAGCTTCCTTCTTACGTTCTTGAGCTGCCCAAATCCTATTATTTTTCAGTTGTGTTTTTCACAGCAGAAATTAGTATTGGTATCATGTTGGTTTTAGGGTCTTCTTCCTGACCAGGGCAGAAGCTGTAGGTGTGTGGATTACGTGGAGGGAAGTGAGCTGGGGACTTGTACTATCATACCAGAGAGAAGAATTTTCCTTGGGAAATGGAGAAATTCTTCCAGCTCCCACTCTTACTCCGGGAGGGAAATTTGAAAAGTTCTTGTCTTCTGACTGTTTGCTTTCAAAACGGGGCTGGGAAACAACATGTTGTGTAAATAGTTCCCAGCCTTGTGTCACGGCCAGAGATAGACTCCCCTGGTTGCTGCATTATGCACCTGCAGAAGGCATTATGCCTTAGACTTTTGTCAGCTAGAAATTCTTACAAAAATAGAAGAAATGATGCTGTGCTTGTAGCTGTAGGTGCTGCCTAACTGGAATCTCTTCCTGGGGCTAACTAGTCATCATGTTCTTGTATTTCACTACCTACACAGATTGTGCCTTTCTTGGCAGGAATCAAATATTTCTCATCCTGTCATAAATTCTCATGCGTAAATATTCTGGATTGAATGTTCACTCCAAAAGAAATCTGAAAAGGACAAACTAGAATAAAATGTAAGCTGTAAATTTTCTTTCAAGCAGTTGAGAGAGGAGTGGAAATAAACTCTTGGTGTAAGTCTGATAGCTTAAAAATGTTTTTAATGTGCTGAGATGAAAAATATTTTGTCTTTGCAACTGTGATAATCTCATCAGAGTCCAGAAAATTGTTGTGAGATGCTTTTTACCTTGGCTTTAATACAGCATTTAAATAGTGGGGGGAAAAAAAAAAAGTTGGGTTGTTCTTTACATTTTCTCTCCTCTCTGTTTTGCCTTCTCCATAGGTGAAATAACAATGGATGCAATATTGTCCCGATTGAAGCAGCTCACCCCTGATCAGCTTCGAGAAGAAATTGTAAGAGCAGGACTGAAATGTGGGCCCATTACCTCAACTACCAGGTTTATTTTTGAAAAAAAATTGGCCCAGGCGTTGTTTGAACAGCAAGGAGCGTTGGAGGAAAAAGGATCTGCTCTGTCAGAGGAGGCTGCTGGAAACATCCCATCTGAGAGCAGCCGGGCAGAAGCACAAAAGGCTTTGAAAACTGCAGTGTTGAATCACAACGGTCATGGAAATGCTTCTGAAGAGGTAGACTTTGGGTACTGCGTAGGTCTGAACCCTCCAGAAGAAGATGCTGTGATGCACGTGAACTGTTCAGCTCCAGTCTGTGGAGCAGGATGTGTTGATTCACAGACTAGTACTCAGACACCGTCCAGAGATCCTCCGCTCTTCTATGGTGTGTGTCCGGTTTATGATGACATACTGGCAAGAAATGGTAAATATTTATTTCCTTTATTTCAAATGTCTAAATAGACCTGTTTCTATTTAGCAAGTGATATGAACACCACTGTATTATTATTTTAAGCATTGCATGAAATATTCTTTTTTGTTTCTATATTTATTGGATCTTCTGAGGCATAGAAACACAGGTATAAGACATCCCAGGTGTTCTGCCATAATCGATACACATGAGGATCCACTACTTCATGTAGCTCAGATGAAGAAAATTATTTCCTACTGCTACTCTCATACCCACCCTGTGCCTGTAATCCTACAGGTAGACAATCAAAAACCTATCTGTATGGGCATCAGATGAAACTTAATTGATCTCTTCTAACAGATTTCATACTTTCCTTTCTATCTTAGTGCCTAATGGTATTTAGAAGTATCTGTTGTTCTTCACATTTTATTGATGAGTACTGCAATGAGGAATTATTAAATTACCTACTGGCAGGATTACAGTTGTGCAGAAAGGATGGTTTATTCTGAGATGGTATTAAGTATTCTTTCTCATAAAAAGGATATTCATATATCATAGTTTTAAAAATTAATAGAAAAGGAGAGGAAGGAGAAGATTTGATTAATATCTAAGGTTCTGTGTAGACGTCTTAAAGTTGTGACTGGATCACTTACATAGGTGATCTTTCTGAACAAGAGAACATGTAGAGTATTGCAGGGTGAATAAACTCTGAATTTGCTTTTCAATCTGCGCGTGAAATACTCGCATGTTGGAGCTACCCCCTATTAAAATGGGTGTTCAGATTCTGATTGATAGGAGTGGCCAAACACTCCATGTACCACCTGGTGTTAGCTGGAGGGTGTAAAATTCTTCTACTCAATTTCTGAGAGAGAAAATATAAAAGGACTTTTGATTCTTATGCTGTGTTTGGTAGAGAAACAGTTTCAATACTGAGGTTATTGAAATAACTTAACTTTGGTTGTACTTTGTTGCAGAGAGAATACATGTTTATGAAGATAAAAAGGAAGCTCTCCAGGCTGTTAAGATGATTAAGGGTTCCCGTTTTAAAGCTTTTTCAAACAGAGAGGATGCTGAGAAGTTTGCTAAAGGAATCTGTGATTATTTCCCATCTCCAAGCAAGTCCTCCTTATGTCTGTCTCCAGTGAAAATGGGATCATTTAACAGAGGTAAGTGAGGGTGTTCACCTGTGAACAGTAGATGCAATATACAGTCTGTTCATTTTTTATGAGAGAAGAAGCAGCAACTTCATAACCTGTATACTAATAAAAGGAAAAATTTCAAAGAATGAATCACCTTAATAAATTAAAGTCCCTTTAGGGTGGTGGTGTTTAAGAGAAGCTGTAAACAAATGTTGGATCAGAGTTCCAGAGCTTGCTTCCCAAATAAAGTTACTGTAGAAATAGGTATGACATAGGTATTACATTATTTTTTTTCTTCTGTGAAATAATTTAGAAACAGGCAACAAAAAGCATATTTTAATTTTTAGTTCAAATCTGGTTTTACTTCTGTATAAAATGATTCTGTCACTGGAGATGTCATCTGTAAAGTTAATTGCTCCTTTTCCAAGAAAGATGCACCAAAGTTTATGTACAGAAATAAAAATAAGAAGTAGAGTATGTTGGAAACCTGCCATTTCTTTTGTAAAGAACTACTACAGAACTAAGTTAGAGCCCTAGGGATCTATGGAAAGACTGTTTTTTGAGTTTTAAACATAAGGTTCAACCTTCAATGTATGGTTTCTATGGTCTATAATAAACTGGTTACTTCTAAAAGTAATTGTCATCATTCTGGTTCTCATGAATTTGCTGTTCTTCTAAAGCTAAATGTTGGTAATGGCCTGCATAGATGTGTTGTTTAGTAGTCTATGGTTGTATCTGGTAGGATTTTATTTTCTTCATGGACTTCAGGATTTTCAGATTTAATAAGACACTGATAAAATTGCACAGTATATTAAAACTGTACTTAATTGTTAAGTAGGTTTGTAAGTTCAAAAATAAAATGGTAAACTCTGATCATATTTCACAGTGTTCCCAGTTGCTAGGTTAAAGGGACTCGGTAGTCACAGAACTGCAAAAGCAATTTTAATATTCAGAAAATTCTTATTTCTTGTTGAATTTTGCTTTTAAGCTTGAATGGAATCAGGTTGGTGATTATGAAATTTGCCAGTCCCTATTGAAGTCTGAAACAGTTTTACAAGATGATTAAGTCATACTGTCCTCCCCTGCTATTTTAAATGTCTTATCATTGACCTCAGTTTTTTTACTCCTGTATGTTAAAGATGTGAAGTTAGTACATACTTTAGATTAAAAGCTTATTTTCATTGCCTGGATATAAAAATAGTGATCACTGAGAAGAGTTTCTAGAAACATGTTACTTGTGTTTTGGTAGATGGCTTATGTTCCCCTGAGACCGACTCTGCGAATAAGGAAAGAGCCAACAGTTATAAAAGTCCACGCACTCAAGATCTGACTGCTAAACTTCGGAAAGCTGTCGAGAAAGGAGATACAGCCACATTTTCAGAACTTATTTGGAGTAACCCTCGCTATCTGATTGGGTCGGGAGACAATCCAACAGTTGTACAGGTAAAAAAGATAAAATAGAAAATCTGGTTTAATGATTTAGCTTCAAGGCCTGATAAGCAGGACCAGAAGGAATGTTGTTTCCTTCTCTTCCTTCACGATACCTTGTTTCCACCAGTGCAAAGTTTCTCAGCGTGTGTTTCTAGCTGAAAGCTGAGAGAAATGTGGCTGTTGTCTGTCTTGCCTAAGTCACCCGTCATCACTGAGAGTTCACTTTGCTCCAGAAGAGCTCAAGTGAAGAAACTGAGTCTGCAGTTTTTGAGGGGAACAAGAGTTTTATCCAGTAGTGAAAGAATGTCTTCATGTAGTGTTGATCTCCAAATAACTCCAGTCTTCTTAAAGCAGAATGATTTTAAGGAGTGGGGTAGTGCCTAGGCTGTAACTAGGTGTTCCTGCAGCACCACTTACCCAGGTGCCACCGTTAAATCTCAAAACAAGCTCTGCATCTAAAATCCACATGGAAGGTACCATTGAGCAGACGCTGAGAATCTCACTGTAACAAATGACTTCTATCAGACCAGCTTCGTGAAGTTGTTTAAGTGTGCGCGTGTAATGTATTACAGCAAACAAATATATATACACACCCATTTTCCTGCTCTTTTTAAAGACTGAACTTCCCATCTCCTTTTATTATGTGGTATCTTAATATACCTTCTTTGCCACCTTTTTGCCCTAGATGTCAAAAAAGACTATAGCTGAGTATAAGAATAATGTTGGTATAAAGATGCCTACGTCCTTATGATATCATATAATTTACTGCACTTCAGGATGTTTGTGTACTGTCTCATAAATAAAATATTAAGAAACAAAAATCTAAATGTAAGACTCAGTGTGGGAACCTTTGTGTTTTCACAGTTAAATTAATTTAATTGTATAGGTGTAAGAAAGCTGTTTAGATTTCAGTTCATTCTACTGTTTGTCTCTCTTTCCAGGAAGGGTGTAGGTACAATGTCATGCATGTTGCTGCCAAGGAGAATCAACCTGGCATCTGCCAGTTACTGCTGGACACTTTGGAAAATCCCGAGTTTATGCGGCTCATGTATCCGGACGATAACGACGTCATGTTGAAGAATCGCATCCAATATATTGTTGACCTTTACCTTAACACACCAGATAAAATGGTAAGATCTGAATGTCTGCCAGTTTCTCCTCATTATGGAAACAACTGGGAGGTGTTAAGGGTGTGTACGGGAGAGGGAAAGAGAATGGAAGGGAACACTTCTGGCAAAATGGGCTATTTGTGAGTTTTGTGGGTTTTAATAATCATCATTCTACAGCGTGGTGGGAAAGGATCTATTAAGAGCCCTGATAATTAGTCACGACATTTATTTACTTTTCTCAATTTCAGAATAAAATACATGGGATTGACTTTATCGTGTTTCCAAATGCATGTGAATTTTCCCTTTTTGCCACTGCAGGGATTTGATACTCCATTGCATTTTGCCTGCAAGTTTGGGAATTTGGACGTTGTTAATGTGCTCACCTCACACCCTGCTATTGTAAAAAATCCAAGAAACAAATACGATCAGACTCCAGCAGAAGTAAGTCTCTCCGTCTCCCCAGCAAAGCTAAAAATGTTGTGCCTATTGACTGTGCCTTGTCGATATTTTTCAAGTTCAAACATTTACTAACTACTTGTGGTAAAATAATAGTGTCGTAATTGGAGTGTAAATCTTTGATAACATTAAAAAAATCTTTTAAGTTGATTGTATCTGGCAGAAGCTTCTAGATTTTGTGATTTGCTGCCTTTTTTTTTACAGTATCCATTATATGGGTGTGGGTGTGTTTTAGTGGCTTGTTCTGCTGTGAATTAAGACTACTGGATGGGATGGGGTGGGTCGAGCCCAGTAATGTGACTATTCAAAAAGAACACACATTGCAATTGATTTGAGATTGATCTTATGCTTTACTGACAAACAACTAAAATTATATTAACAGGTAGTTTGTGAAAGAAGCAAGAACAAATCTGCAGAATTGAAAGAAAAACTAAGAGAGTACTTGAAAGGTCTGTATTATACTGTATCAGGCTTGTATTTTGGCTCTTTGCCGTCTTCCGTTTGCTTTCCATAACATTTCTGTTCACAAATGTTGCTGCTCTACAGTGATGTGCAAACCACAGAGAAACTAAAACTGATAAGGAACAGAAAACCTTTTGTCGTTTACTTATGTAAAGTAAAAGGCTGTATGGATCACAAGGTTATCCTCATCACTCTCTAACGATGCCGTGGCCCTTGTTTTATTCAGCGAGCCTGAAGCAGAGAGTTTAATCTGAAAGCAAACAAAAGACTTATAAAGCAAGAGATTTATGTGTCATGCTGGGGACTTGTGTGTAATCTCTTTGACATAGAACTTTTCACTGTTTTGTCACATGTGGGTTTACACATTGACAAAAGGAGATTTTGAAATGTGTTGAAGATGATTAGGGAAGGATTGTATGTGTCAGTGTGTGAGCAGGCAATAAATACTGAAACAGTGAGTTTGAATTCCAGGTAGTTTTACTAATGAAATAGTCAGATGGTTAAGTATAGGGGTGTATTGATATTCTTGGAAGAAGCAGCAGACTAATGTAACGTAAACTTCTTAAGAAAGCTTTTTATTATTTATTGTACAGAAAACCACAGAGAAACTAAAACTGATAAGGAACTACAGTGATGTGCAAACCACAGAGAAACTAAAACTGATAAGGAACAGAAAACCTTTTGTCGTTTACTTATGTAAAGTAAAAGGCTGTATGGATCACAAGGTTATCCTCATCACTCTCTAACGATGCCGTGGCCCTTGTTTTATTCAGCGAGCCTGAAGCAGAGAGTTTAATCTGAAAGCAAACAAAAGACTTATAAAGCAAGAGATTTATGTGTCATGCTGGGGACTTGTGTGTAATCTCTTTGACATAGAACTTTTCACTGTTTTGTCACATGTGGGTTTACACATTGACAAAAGGAGATTTTGAAATGTGTTGAAGATGATTAGGGAAGGATTGTATGTGTCAGTGTGTGAGCAGGCAATAAATACTGAAACAGTGAGTTTGAATTCCAGGTAGTTTTACTAATGAAATAGTCAGATGGTTAAGTATCGGGGTGTATTGATATTCTTGGAAGAAGCAGCAGACTAATGTAACGTAAACTTCTTAAGAAAGCTTTTTATTATTTATTTTAGGTCGATACTATGTACCACTCTTGAGAGCAGAAGACAATTCCTCAGCTCCTGTAATTGGTGCACCGTGGTCACCCGATCAGACAGATGATGGCCCCCAGAGAACTTTATCTAAATACACTGGCAGCCCTAAAGATCCAGTGCTGTCAATAAGAGCTTTCGCAGGCCCCATGAGCCCCTCAAAGGTAGGGAGAGAACTTCATATGACTATAATGCCTATTTTTTTCCTTTTTTTTTTTCTTAAGGAGCCATTATGAGATCCACCCAAGGTTCATGGTGTGGTGCAGCTTCCTCTGTTACAGATTGTGGCTCTCTTTTTCTTGAAGAGATGGATCTTCCTCCGTAGAAAAGCACAGAAACTTCTAAGTATTTTTTACTGCTGAAAACATAGAAACATGTGGTGTAAATAACAAGAGGGGAAGTTCAGTTAAAAAAAAGTTGTTCTTTTCTTTTTCCCTGTTGGAATCTATTCAAAGAGCACTCTTTGACAAACCTTTCATTGTCTTACAGATAATTGCTGTAACTTTCTAGTCTGAAACAAGACTTTTCAATGTGGCTACACATCGCTTTTAAAGAAATCTTAACTTTATCTCATTTCTAGAAATTGGCGCTGGCAGTAGAAGCAGTTTATCACCTCTGCTTCTTGAGTTAACATTAATGTTTTTTTCTAAATAGAAAAACTGACCACCAAGTAGTAGGTGTTGGGAGAGTTTTGGAAAAGTATTGATTGTATAGTAGAAATGCAACGTCTTCAGTTTTCAGGAGGAATAATGAGATATCAGTTAAATATGTTATAAATTGATGGGTATTTCTTTGACTCATCAGTTTAATATGAACAGCCTGCAAGTATGACGGCTTGATTATTTCCTTTAGCAGTTCAAATTCAAACTTTGAAATAAACAGCAAGAATCTATTGTGATAATTGTAGCAAGTCTGTGGAATTAAATATGTACATGTAAAAATATCATCCTAGAAACCAGTGACCAAGAGAGCATTTATCATTAAATAAAATAATAATGGCCTGGGAAAATTATAAGATAGACCTGTTTCCTGCTGCACCCAAATTAAAACCAGGCAGACTCAGTATCTATACATTTTACTTTAAGGTGGTTATACATTATGGTTGTTACTCTTTTAATAAGCAGTTACGAGATCAAAGTAACCAGTAATACTGGGAGGAGTAACTTTAGATTCAATCTGAGATTCTTCATCGCTGGAGTTGAGCAATACTTGGGGCAGAACTTGAGTTGTTTATGTGTAGGCAGCAAACAGAGCTACGGGCAGACATTTAGTCAGCCCCGAATGAGCTTCAGATTGTGGGGGGTAGTTATTTTACATTATTTCTGTTTTTTAAAGGCCGAAGAATTTCGCCGGCTTTGGAAGACTCCACCTCGAGAGAGAGCTGGCTTCTTTCACAATGTCAGGAAATCTGATCTGGAGAGAGGTCTTGAAAGAGTTGGAAGGTATCTAAAAGAGTGTCAGTATAAAAAATTAGCAAAAGACAGAGCAATTAAAAGCAAAAGACTTGTGCTGAGTGTACGGTTATCACTTACTGAACAGTATCTTAGGATAAAAGTTGCTGGCAGAAATGTTTATGAAGTATAATGTAGTTGGATTTTTAGTGTATTTTTGTGTAAATAAAATAGGTAAAAATGTGAGAGGTAGCTTTCTTTGGGGATAAAAGATACTTTAAATATAATTGATGGTATTTATAGAATGCTTTTCTCAAACATTTACTTGCCTGATTTGTCAGAAGGTCTAAAATTAGGCATAGCCTATTTTTTCTGTAAAATGAGGGATTGGTAAAAAGGTAGCAGAGCGAAAAGATTGTAACACAAATGTTCTGCTTTATAAAAGCTGTGTGTTATGGTCCGTGGCCTTGCTGTTAAAATACCGTGTATCAGCAATATGGGGAAAAAAATTACATTGGTAAAAGCTGATGAGATTTCTTGGTTTAAAATAAGCCCTCGCTTCCTCCTGCTTCTCCCATTCCCAAACAGAAAACGCTGTCAAATGGAGTATCATCCAAATTCTGCCTACGTCAGTGGGGATTCATCTCTATCTGATGTCTAGATGCAGTCAGCTTAAAAATAGCAATATTTATGGTGCTGACTTTAAAAATAGATTAAATTTGAGAAATATCCTAGAAGAAATGAGATGATGCTGTGTTTGCTAAGGATGTGTCTATCGCTTATGCAAATTGTTGATTGTTGCGGAATTGTGTTGCCTGGTTGCACGTTTATACTATTAATAGCTGATAAAATGTGTTCAGAAAAGTTATTGTCAAACTAATATTTATGTCTTCACAAATGATTCGTTTTATTTTATTTATTGCAGGGAGTTAGCTCATGAACTGGGGTTCCCGTGGGTTGAATACTGGGAATTTCTGGGCTGTTTTGTTGATCTGTCTTCCCAGGAGGGGTTGCGAAAATTAGAAGAGTACCTGAGTCATCAGGAAATGAGCGAAAAGGCTCAGCAAGAGACAGGGGAAAATGAAACCTGCAATCGATACAAAACTCCACATCCTTCTGGTAAGGAAAGAGCAAATGGTACAAACAACAGGTTGTACCTTGGGAGAAGAGGGAGAGAAAAAGCTGGGTGCCCAGGGATGCAGCATTCACCTGTTGTGGTTGCTATTTTTAATCTGTTGTCCAAACAGTCCCATTATAGTACTGACAAAGTAGCTCACATCACTGTGGATGTAGGAGAATTAGAACGGATCTCATTAGACGTTCGTTATCTTTCATATGAAGTACTTTATATGATTGTAGCCCCCAAATGAAATTCCTGTAAGAAAACCTCTATCTTCAGTAAGTTTTTACTCAGAGCATTTGGGAATTCATCTTACAGAATTTTGTAATCCACAGATACAGAATAAGTAACTTCTTAAAATAAAGGAATCATTCTTCACCATTGAGGGTGAAAGACACGCTGGACAAAGCCAGGAAAGGTTTTATACCTGCTGGGGCTGCTGATTGCCATGTGTTTATGGAGGGCACACACTAGTCCCAAATCTTTGTGCTCCTTCCTCCTCCTCTCCTGTCTGATCATAGACCCGAAGGGACTGGTTCTGGGATAAACCTGGTCTGACAAACCCTGAAGGGCAGTCGTTGGAACAGTCATCAGCCTTTGTGCTTTGGAAGAGATGAAAACTTCAACTATTCTGTATCAGTAACGTTTTCCTGCCCTGTCCTGCTTTATCCAGAGTTTATCCTGTGTTGCTGGTTAATGATTGAAGTGAGGAGTGTAGGGAATACAGTTCTCAATTGACCAGGATATAAAAGGTTATTTGCAAAAAAGATACAGCCGTAATGTTGTCATTTTGTATTTGTAGCTTTAGTTAGGTTAGTTCATGCTGGTGCATAAATAAAAATTAGAGAGGGTTTCAATAAATAGAATAAGGCATAAAGATGATGTATTTGTTCCTAATTTATTTGACTGGCGTTCTCTTGGAAGTCTTTATATGTGTTGCTCTTATCAAAATTGTTTGCAGGCAAGAGTAAAAAGTGCTGCAATTCTATTTCTGTTGGAGCATTTTTGGATGAGGATGATGATGACATGAGCTTAGAAGAAATCAAAAACAGACAAAATGCAGCACGGAACATCAGCCAACCTCTTGCCTCCAAAGAGCCCAGCATCGATGCTCTGGGAGACGCCGAGTGTGACATCTTGTCAATGGCGCGCGCAGCAAACATCATCGAAACATCGGGTCCCCCCAGGCACTATGAAAAGGCGGCTTCTTCCAGCAAAAATGGATTTTGTAATCCTGTTTCCAGTGACAGGATAATTAGTGACAGAAAGCATTTGCACGATGGAGGAGAACGCCTTATATCGCCCGTTTCCAATTTAATGTCAGAATTTGAAAGCCTGTCATTCCAAGAACAAGAGGTTGCAGGAAAATCAAATAAAATCACTGAAAAAACTGTGAATGAGAGAATTCTGGCTGAAGGAACAAGTCAGGTGAGAATATCCAAGGACCACCCAGATAACACCTGCTACGCAGGTTCCCTGGCGAGTTCTGAGCCAAGGGTTATGGGTAAACCTGGAGAGACCAAGTTAAGGACAGAACACAAAATGCCATCGGAAAAGGAGAGACTGCCCATGGAATCTGGAATTCAGACTAATGAGGCACAACAACGTCAACTTTCTTCCCAAAAATTTCTTTCGAAGGCTTCACCCACAAATGATGAGTCTAAGAAGTTATTCCTGCTTGGGTAAGAATTGTCTTTTTTAACACTTATTTGTCCCCTTTGGTTTGTGTATGCAAAGCAAGCTGCTTTTTATAGCATCACTGGCAGGAAGGTTGAGGTGATGTGATACGAAGCAACACTAGTTGCAGTCAGCCTTGAACCATCATCTGGAGGTGCTTCAGTGCTTATACAGCAGCCCTGCAGTTCTCTTGCACCTAATTCCCTCATACTGGATCCAAACCACAAGGAAGAAGAGGAGAAGGCTTTGTTTCCCAATCAGTTTCGGTAAACTTTGCTGTTCACCATTCCTCTGAGGGTCTTGTGACTTCAGGATGAGCCTGACTTGGATGAACGAGGTGTTTGCTGCACTCTGGGGATGTCCTCAGATTCAATTTTCAAAACTTTTATTTTATGAGACTACTATGTAATAATGGCCAGTCATTTCTGTTTGGGCCTGCTAGAAAATGGTCATAGAGAAACTGTGTCTATAGAGGAGCATGGGCAATTTGTCTGCTTCTTTGAAAGACAAATGTTTTTTATTGCCTGAACAAGTAGATTGTTCTCTTTTCATCTAGTTGTGTTTATATTCTAGGGAGCAGCCCTCGAAGCTGGATAGTGATGTCTTAGCGGCTATAGAAGCGGTGGAGATTGATCCGCAGAAATACCCCGTCACTTACAAGTGGAAGCAGGCGGTGCAGTCCTACACGTCGTCTGACAGGCAGAGGTATTTCTGCAAATTCCATTTCAACGAGTTGAAATTAAGTTTTTAGCGCGTCAGCTGCCAGAGCAGCCTGAATAGTTGGGATTTCAGGCCTTGTTGCTCACAAAAACCTTGCTTTAAATCTTCAACTCTATTAACTGTTAGTGTGTTTCTGAGATTAACCACCAAGCTTTTTTGGCTGCTGTCAGTCAGTGTATGTGTACACACCAATGAGACAGAAAGTGAAGGTCTGGAGAGCGTCAGCGTTTCCCAGCTGGCAGGTGTCTCACTTTGCTGATGTATGACTTGGTGCTTGGATCCTTTGTTGGCCTCAGTGGCCGCTGGGATGTGGGATGGTAACCCCTCCCTGCTGGGGGTGCGGGGCAGTGATGTGTTGCTGTGAGGTACTTCGGTTGTGCTGAGTGATGGTAAAGTGAATTTAATATCTTCGGGCATGTTTTTATTACTACGTGGTTTTTTACCCTCTGTTACCCCAGTCTAAGGGTAGGGAGATGGATGGGGTGTGTGACGTTTGTAGAGAGAAGGGTTTGCTACACAGGTCGTGGAGCCCACGGCGTTAGCAGGGTGGCTGGAATAGGTGGTGTGCCATTTATACGTTTTATTTTGAATGCTGTTGCTTTTGGGGGACCTAAAGCGACGATTTTCATACAGGTGGCTTCTCTGGTAGTCGTTTTAAATGAAGATTTATTTCCACCGTGACAGACGTTGGTAAGAACACTGAAGAGTCCCTTGCTTGGACAGGCTACCGTTTATATGTAGTCATGATGAAGTTCTCAGAAAAGGAACAGATGACCCAGTGCCACTCAGCAGACTGGAAAGGGGGCAGCCATCAAATGACCTGTATTGACTTCTGGTGTTTTTCTTGTTTCTTCTAGCTTTCTAAATGCATGAAATTCCAGTTATGAGAACTGTTTTCACTAAGATGTTCTCAATATTGGTATTGAACATTAATTTTTCAAAATATGCTTTAAAGACTGAAATTCTAAAGTTCTGTCAGAGCCCATGAGAATTTTCAAAATATAATTGACTGGCTTTTTTGGGCACAAAATTCAGAGTAGGAGTTGGGAAGCAGCAGCTGGGAGGTGCAGCTGTGATGAGTTGGCAGAGATTGGAGAGGGGGAATGTTGTGGGAAGAGCTGAAGCAACCTGGGACAGGGCTGAAAGGAGTGCAGGTGGTGAGTGGAAGGAGAGATGCGCTGAGAAAGAAACCAGCTTTCCTTTGTCTCTGTATTTCAAATAGTGCACTGAAATAGGGCCATCGAGTGTAGGGTTGCCGAGCACTGGGAAAGAAACCAGCTTCCCTTTGTCTCTGTATTTCAAATACTGCACTGAAATAGGGCCATCGAGTGTAGGGTTAGAAAAAAACCATGAAGCTCACTAAGATTTTTCTGTGATTTAAAGTGGAGTAGAAACAGGCAAGTATTTCATGTACCTGATTGATACGGTGTCCTTGAATAACTTCACTTTTCAAAGTCACGTTCTCTCATCCCCTGATTTTTGTGATTAATTTTTGAAAGAAATAGGCTAATTATTAGGGGTTCTTTCATTCTTATTCCACTATCTGAAAGGTCTTAGCTGTTCTTCTGAAGTGCTAAAATTTAACACAAGGTTTTTAGGTGTAATCACTGTTCTATCACATAAGTAAAAATGGTTACTGTAATTATTTGACAGTGCCAGGGCTTGATCTGTCAACCGCCCTCATTTAGCAGTGCTGCCTCTGCTCATAGCACAGAAAGGACACGCTACAGCACTTTGTCTTTAGATACGTAAGAGTTTGACTGCAAAACTCAGACCTAAAAATACAGATACCAGTAGGTCTGTCAGAATTATTTTCCAAGGGTTGTAGCCAAGCTGTGTGTGCCTGGCTTTCGTAGGTGGGGGGTTTGTTTATTTATGTATTTTCAAAAACTTTGTAAAACATCCTTAGCTTATAGGGTGTTTTCTGTAGTGGGTCATCTTAAGAAATTGCCTCACGTGTAAAAAAGAAAGTCCAGGAATGATTCTTGGCTGCAGCACTAGCCAGGATCGGGTCAGTTTGGATCGTGTGCCCTAAAGCTGTCCGGGTGCTTCACAAACTCCTGGTTCTTTTCTTAATAGCCATTTTGGAGCAAATGTCTGCACAGAATATGTATAACACTGTCACTGTTTCTTCTCAGACCTGTCTCTTACCAGTTACCATTTTTCTCTGCTGGTGCAGCTCTCCCGGTGACCCTGCGTGGCGGCCCTGCTCTCCTTACTGCAGTTTCTTAACAAAATCCAAACGTGACTTTTTGTCTCTTTCAGTTGGCCAAGTCCCCCAGGTGCTTCACAAGCTCCTGGTTCTTTTCTTAATGGCCATTTTGGAGCAAATGTCTGCATAGGATATGTATTACGCTGTCACTGTTTCTTCTCAGACCTGTCTCTTACCATTTTTCTCTGCTGGTGCAGCTCTCCCGGTGACCCTGCGTGGCGGCACTGCTCTCCTCACTGCAGTTTATTAACAAAAGCCAAACGTGACTTTTTGTCTCTTTCAGTTGGCCAAGTCCATCACTGAAGGCAAGAGTCAAGTCCCAAGCCATCGCTGCTGGCCTTCCAAGTGCTTCAGGCTATTCCAATTCGGGAAGAAATAGCCCCATACCAGGAAGCCCAGGAAAATACGGCAATTCCGCCTCGTTCTCCCCGGAGCCGGGGAGCCCCGGGCGCTACAGTCCAGCCGGTGTCAACCACGCGCTGCTAAAACTGCGTTATTTTGCAGAGCCTCCTGCCCACTAAAATGCAATTCATCTTCCTGGGACTTCAATTCTGATTTCGTTGTTAGAGCGGAGGAAAAAAACTACGATGTTACTGACGTGACATGAGGGTTTGTACTTGGCTATTTATTTTTCCTCAATTGAGGACAACTGTATGTTAAAAAAAAAAAAAAAAAGAGAATATATGTCTTTATGCCATATACAAGATAGATCACTGGTGACATGCAAGAAGTTAGTGAGTCAGTGCAGTTGTCCAGTAGCTACGATTAACTCTTGTTGCCAGTAAAGCAGTGAGCTGAACCTTTACTTAGAGCCAGACGGTGGTGTTTTAGGATCACCGACTGTCATTGTTGTAATGAACCCGTTAGCCCTCAGCTGCATTTGTTTTGCGTGGGTCGGCTGGAGGAAGCACAGCAGCAGCAAACACAAACCCCAGGAGGGGAAAGTGACGGCGAGAGGTAAAATGTTCTTCCACTTGCAGGGGGATGCTCAGAGGGAAGGGCCCGACAAAGCAGGGGAGCAAGAGCTTTCCCTGCTGAGTATGAGCGTGACCCCGTGTGTAAACAGACCGTGTTTACAGCTGGTTTGCCCCAGAGGGTTGAACACACACACTCCCCTGTATCTCCGTGTGGCTGTGTGCACCTATTTACACACAAACCTCGAGTCTTTGCTTGTTCTGAGGCTGTTAAAAGCACCGTGATATACTGTGTTTTAGTCAAGGGGCACTATAGAAACTACTGGTATTCCTTTAAATGTTAGTATGAAGATTAAAAGAAACACTATAAAAATTAGCTGGTTTTTTTCTCCACAGAAGCTTTTAACATTAGCAGATTTTAATAGTTATTACACAAAAGCACATCAGCAATAATTTCAGCAAATTTACCAGCAAGATACCTTAATGGTCTAGTTTGTAATATATTAGCGTGGTAGCCAGTGACCCATGATGTGGCTCCTTGTTTCCCAACTGTAAAGTGAGAGGAATAAGGACTAAAAATATTTTTATTGAATTCTAAGCTTTTACTATGTCTCTAGTCTTGATGTGGTAATGAGGTTTTTGTTACAGCAGTCAATAATTTTATTCTTTAGCCTTCTGCAGGAATGACTTGTTTCGACAACACGCCACTGAGATTGAAGCTTTCCCTATGAAGCTTAATGGTTGTCATGTTGGTTGAAGGCAGGCTCCCAGACACAGAGCTCTCAGTGTTGATAGCTCTCCAGTTAAAATGAAAAGGAAAACCTAGAGTTGTCGTTACACCCTAATTCTGATCAAAAAATTACAATCTGCCAGGGCTGTGCTGGTAAAAAAGGGATGGGTTTGGAGTCACTGGTGTCACACACGAGGTGAGACAGCCCAGGGCCTCCTCCGAGGGCTGCGAGCCACACGCGTGGCTGGAGAGCCGCTGGTTGGAGCTGGGCTGGTGCAGGGCAAGTGCTGGTGGCCCATGTGCCAGGGCTCAGGGCTGCCGTGGCCGAGCGGAGACCCCGGAGCGCGGTAGGTCTGATGGCTGTAGCAACTGCAGAGCCTGGACTCCCTTCAGTAGGCTCATGATTTGGTACAAACCTAAAAAAAACCCTGCACTTAATGCTTTTGCAAGCTTAATAGTGCCTTTTGTAACATAATATTTTTTTTTTTAATTAATTAAATTCTTGTTCTTTTAGAAGTTTAAAAAAAGAAGTGGCATCCACTTACTATGGGCACATAAAATAGAGTTTTTCTTCTGGGCTTTCTGAACAGAACGTATTTTAACGTCTCTCTCTTTTTCTAAGTTTAATTACTTGGTGCGATAGCTCTCCGCTGTTGGGAGAGCATTCCTATTTTAGAAATTACTCTTTTCAAAAAGGCTTATTTAGCTCTTTCTTTATAATTAAGCCTATTTCCAATGAGCTGGACATTAGGAAGAGCTACTTTACACAAATGCCTGTCAATCAGTGCTATTTCAGCCAGCTGGGGCTGCAGGGGCATACCCTGCTGCTACCAAGGTCGTTAAGTGACTTCATAAGGTTTTATTGGGCTGGGTTTTCTGATGCCGCAGTCTCTCTGGTCTCTAACAATTGTTTAGGTTCCAAATTCCTACAGTTTTAACTTTAAAGGGTTTGGGGTTTTTTTTGTTTGGTTTTGAATTTTCTTTTAAATAATTTAATGTAAATGATGTCTTTGTCATTCTGGAGAAATTATTCAAATGATGAGTAATTGCCCAATGCCATGTTAAAGCCAAATTCCTGTGGGCAGCTGCTGTTCTCCAGCCTGGCCCTTCCACAAGAGTCTCTTCTAGAGCTGGAGACTGAAACTAACGCTTTTTGTCCTTTTTCCTTTGTTATGCTTTGCTTTTTTTTATAAATATAAAAATGTATGTTACTGATATGTACATGTAGACACACACACACACACACACCCCTCCACTCCCACCCCCCACCTTTCACTTTCTAATTTTGTTTTGGTTCAGTCAAGAAAGTATTTTTTTTTAACTGTAATGTGCATTAGTCCAGTTGTACTGCATCTGAAGAGGTCATTTTTCTAACAATGTATTTACTTCAGCTATTAAAAGAAAATAGCAATTTATGTAGCGATTTGATCATTCATGATTGTGAAGAGAGCTCTGCAATAGTGAGCCTGTGGAAACACTTTAAATCAGATGGATATTGCTTGAATTACGTTTTCTTGGCCAAAAGTTCACTTCTAAAGGTGCAAAAGACTAGTTGTGGGTTTTGGTTTTCTTAATTAGCCAAGTGTCATGTTAAAAATAGTTACCCCACTTTCTATTAAAAAAAAATGAGTAGCTTCAAGTGTCACACTCTGTTTAGTTTTGTGGGGCATGGCAAGAAGTAGCTGGGTTGATGACCACTACATTGGTCAAGGCCTTGCTAACACAACCACAAGCATCTTTTGTGTGTGTGCACGCAATGGCTCTGGCTTGTGCCACTGAAGCCTTGAAGAGCCTCAAAACATTTAAGACAGAAAGTCCAACTACTGTAAAAATTATGTACTTAATTTTAGATTTTATACACTCCTCTTCCCCCCTACCCCCCACTTTAAGTGCTGCTGAAAACGTCATTAATTTCTGTGGTGTGTGTCCTGGCTGCCCACCAGGAACCTATTTGTGGGGTGGGGGGTGAAGGGGGGGTGTGGAAGGACACTGAGCGGGGTGGAAAGGTATGTAAAAGGGTACATGTATAGACACACAAATAAAAATGGCACAGCATTTTCATCTTACCAGCTTTGGTGCTCTGTTCCAGGTGGTGGTAAGTGCCCTGTAACTCCCAAACTGCCAGGAGCCCCAGGGCTGGGACTAGTGCACAGCAGTCCCCTCTCGTGCACTGCAGAGCTTGCGCTGGTTTCTGGAGAGGATGATAATTAACTCTAAGCCAGCTACTACCTCAAGTCTACATTTCAGATATTTGGAGTTAAAACAAACAGGCAAAGTTGGTAAATGAACTGTTGCCCCAGGCAACACGGGCTACAAAGGCTGCTCAGCTGAAGAGACAAGGAAGAAAGACAGACCAGTCGTTTTATTCAAAACTTTTAAAAAGTTAATAGACAAAAACTGATAAATTATTCTCATTGCATCAATGAGATACATCGCCATGGTTTCCTCTTGCCCCCACAACTTGCACAACGATCACGTTTTGTTCCCTACTAGCCCCATTTTCCTTGAAATCACCCTGCTGTAGCAGCCCTGCACCAAACAAGTCATTAAAGCCCCTTGCCAGGGTGTGTGCCGTGATTGGGCTTCATGCAGCTCTGAAGGAGCAAGTTCAGAGGCCCATCAACTTTCCTGGTGATAAGAGCCTGTCAAACAAGTCAGTTCTGTTTGCTGGCTTCTAGTATGTGCCCTGTCACCAAGGCCTAATTTTCCCAGCACCCCCCAGTACAGGCTGAGCCAAGTTACCACACCAGCCTGGGGGCCCAGCAAACAGCCTTCAGGTGAAATCCTTCTCAGTCTTCCCCTCAAAAAATGGAACCTACTTCTCTGCCACCCACCTTTTTCCTCGCCCAAGTCCAGCAGTGTCAGAGCTGTATAAAAAAAAGGAGCCACCTGAAGCACTCCGCCTGACGGCTGCACTCGCCCAGGGCCTAGGAAAGTCATCCCACAGACATTCACCGTTCAGGCAACAGTAGTTTCAAGTAGCAGTTTGTTCCAACACTGCAGAACCTCTGACCCGAAGCATCAGTACCTTGGTCTCAGTGGTGGTATTTCTCTACTCCAAAAGCAAAGTACTGACAAGTACAGCTCAATGGGAGAAAGCACTCAAAACCGTCACGGCACTAACCGGAAGCACGTGCGGAAGATGCTTTCCTTTCCTTCCATCTTACTGCTACAGACACAGCCCTACAGCCCCCCACAGACCAGGTTTTAGTTAAAGGCTTTACGAGACTGAAAAACATTGTTCAGAATAGCTTAAAGTACTTCCTGAGGATGGAGGAACACTTAATAAAAGCAGTAGTTAATTCTAGCACCGCAGCTCTGAGGCAAGTGGTTTTTTTTTACCCTCTTTGCTTTATGCTCACAACCTCCAGGCACAGTTTACATGAGCTTTTTGGGGGGAGAGAGGAACAATGACACAACATAAACACACATCCTCAACAGCTTACAGAAACAGAAGCCTTATCCCTTTGTCCTTTGAACAGCAGAATACCCTGTTTGTCATTTCTTCTGCAAGAGCTGAAACAACCTGGGTCATCTTCTCATCTTCAGTTTTTAGCTGCAGCGTGATACAAAGCTGTTCGTACCAGTTCTCACACCAATTGCTTTCCTGCACAAGAAAATACCCACAGGAGCAAGCTTTGGTTATAGAAATTCGGGGGGGGGGGGGGCAGGGGGAAAGTCTGTGCTCTTGCGACCGCTGAGCACACGAACATTCAACCTCTTTGTATTCCACAGCTCAGCTTTGAGTTTTGGGGAATACTTGAGGACTGGGCAGCTTCAGGCTTACAAAGATTTCTTCTTTTCTGGACTGAAAGGCAGATATGAATATGTATGAAGGAGGCAAAGGGCTAAAGGACATTTTTAAGACAGCATCACACCCCAACATAACCAATAAAAACCTAGTGGTACTGTAGCTGAATGTACTAGTGCAAAGAGACTCGAGGCAGCTCCCGGACAGCCGTCAGTTCTGCTCATTCAGGTGCGTGTGATTTTATCCGGAGGCATGAAACCCGTGTCACCCAGTGCTCGAAGTGCCACCCTTCCGTTCGGCCGTATCACCAAGTGAGTTATACTGCCATTGTTAAGAGACATTCGCAGCCAGCCTTCTGGGGGGAACTGCAATGCTCTTTAAAAAAAAAAAAAAAAAAAAGAAGAAATTATTCATTTATAATAAGAAAAACCGTTGGTCATTCTGCAGCTTGCACGCACACGCTCCCACAGTCAGCCCCTGGATAAAATACTTTTCTTGCGCAAGTCATATGAAAACAGAGTGGTGATAACTGGCCCAGTGCCAACAGTGCACTTGCATAAGCAGAGTCCAGCAGATGGGTACGATTATTGTATAGGATTAATTCAAATCGACAGAAGGTGGAAGCTCTAACGTGGTCGGGTTGCTTGGGAGTGCTCCGAGCCACCTCCTGACAAACAGGACCACAGACAGCCAACGGCAGCACCACAGAACCCCACACAGCTCAGGACCTGGGGAGGAGATGGCTCTCACTTCAATGGGCTCCTCTGCAGACCCACGGTGTAGGTGGCAAACAGCACACTTTTACACACTGTTTTAAGCCTTCTCAAGATGGGTAGGTACCTAACAAGAGCCTAGAGGAGGCAGTGGGACAGGATCTTTTCTACTTGCCTGTACGTGCCTATGGAAGAAATTCACCAGCACTACTTGCCATCAGCTGTACTGTTCCCCAGAAAGGGCAAGAAAAGGTACCCTGTGCTTTTTGTAGAATCAAACCCAGTCTCCAGCTATTCTAAAATTCCTAACAATATACTCAAGAGGTCAATCAATTGTAGTAAACAGCTGGAGAACATACAAAACTTTTGCATCAGATACTAAGGAATAACTTGGTTTTGGCTCTATGACAGTCTTTTAGACAGGCTAAGAAACTAAGTAACAACTACAGTCAAGCTAGATTAAAAGGGAGTGCTAGATGGATTGTGTTACTGGTTAGCCTGGAATGGAAGGCACAGAAGAGAAGTTAAAAAGGTGAGGGAAGAAACAGCAGAGAGAAAAAGTATACAGCTATTTCAGAAAAAGCCTAGGTAGCAGCAAGATGATCTCTATTGGCACAGGAAAGAATATTCTGTTTACCTGATCGATAATTTTAAGTATAGCAATTTTGAAAAGCTCTAAAGCAGTCTGCAGAGCAGACAGGCTAGCATTTAACTAGCTCAGCTAAATAAAGCTAACTGAAATTGTTGTAGGTATTGATCAGATTAAAATTTAATCACATATGTTCTGCTCAAGACAAATTATCTTGCAGACTGTGCTTTGTTGATAGGGAAGAGGAATAAAACAGACTCAGCTGAGTGGATACAGAGACAGGCAAAGATCCAGAACTGTTTTCTCCTTCATGAACCACCTTGATGTTAGCCAAAAGATCCACTCTCCCCTCTAATCCAATACCATGTGTTACTGCAAAAACACACTGATACAACTTGAACATAATACAAGAATTCCCATTAGTAAAGAATTCCCAAAACTGAATCAATCAAGTAAGGAGACTGTTCAGATGTA